GTGCGGTTACCACAATATGCTCCTTTAGAGTTACTAAGAATGCGCTGGTGCAGCAACTTCAAAATAAGCTTAATAAAGCGGTACATGGAGGCCTTGATTTAAAATTTTGTTGGGTGCCGAGTCATATGGGAATAAAAGGTAATGAAGAAGCAGACAGACTCTCTACATCCTCAGGTAATCTTCCCCTGTCTCACGCCTGTTTGCCACGCCAAGACATTAAACCTATAACGAAGTCATCCCTTCTTCGTTATTGGCAGTCTGAATGGAACATGGAGTGCAATAATAAACTTCATATTATAAAGCCGGTTCTTGGGCTCTGGGAGAGCTCTTCTCAGAGGAACCGATTCCATGAAGTACTATTGTGCCGTCTTCGAATCGGCCATTCTTGCGTAACGCACAAATATCTTCTAAGTGGAGAGGGCCCGGGGTGAACATTGTGGGGATACGCTTACCATCATGCATATCCTGTGGCTGTGTTCAGCTTTGGACAAGGAACGTCGTGTTCACTTTCCAGAATTGTTTCACTTCCAAATCCCATTCCATCCTGCTTTTTTGCTGGGAGAATACCCTCTAATCCCATTCGACCGTGTGTTGTCTTTTATCACAAGCGCGGGTTTTATTAATAAGATCTAACCCTACATCGGTAATTATTATTCTGTAGCTCGTTAACAGCAACAGCTGATTTCTTAAATTTTGTTTGGCGCAGTATGGCCTCCGTAGCTGTTGCGCCATAAAACCCCCAAACATCATCATCATCCGTTTTCGCGAGTGCCGATAGAGATGCCACCTGTGAGATGCGGTCGTAAACAGCAACATTCCGTCTGCTGCTTTCCCCGGACGGCATTCTTTCATAAACGACAGCAGTTTTCACTTCTAACTTTTAATTACGGTAATGTTAAATGTTCAGACTTATCTTGCTGCAACAGATGCGGGCTACATTCTGACGAAGTTGGAGCTCTCTGTCTGGTTTATTTTTGCGGTGCGAAAAACGGGCTCGGATTTCCCGTGACCATCCTGTAGAATAGACTGCTCGAGAGCTGTCCTGCACACATATGCGCTTTAACACTGTGCGAATGCTTTTTTGCCCGCATTTTAGCTGATCGTGTTCTTGCATCGATAAGATCTGCATGCTTTTCAGCGTGCTTCTTTTCTTCTTTTTTGTGTTTCACTCACAAGTCTGCCAACTGGTTGAAAGAACACAGATATTTCCACAGCAGTGTGCACAAAGAAATTAAAGTGTAACTGAATATCAAAGATGTTACCATTAAAAAAGAATATCACAATGTATTGCTTCGAAAATCATAGTCATCATCATATAAACATTAGCAAGAAGAAACTCTTTCCGAAAGTGTCCTCAGCACTTACAGCAGCGAAGATCCCAGCTGTGGGACATATAGTACAAGTTTCGGCACAGTTCAGTTTTGGAGGTTGCAGGAGCACAAAACCTCACTTTTGGAGCAGGTTAGAAGCTCGGAAATCTTTTTTTGGAGCAAATAATGTTTGAATGCAGCTCAGGAGTAACTCTGACCCGTATACACTCTTGAAAAAGACCCTGTGTTTTCTTTCCCGTAGAACACGCGGACAGCTAATCACTGCTGTTTGCAGAATCAGCTCAGCGAATGACAATGCCGAAACATATGTTTTGACCAAAAAAGTGAAAGCCGTTTACAACTCCCTGTAACGCCGAATTGGAGCGCAGCTCTTGAGGAGGAGGAGTGAAGGGTACTGAGGGGAGGGTAGACCCCTCCTCCTTCTCCTCCTCCTCCCCTCATTCTTTAATATGCTCTGGGGGGGTCACCTGACCTTGGGGGAGGGGGTCACGTGTGGGTCACCTTGGGGGGTCACGGGACCTTGGGGTGACCCTGGTTATGCCGACGCCGACGCCGCTGAAGCCGGAAACGGGCGCGTAACCCTTTCAGGCTCCATCCGCTGTTTTGAAGTGTAAAAATTGTTTTTGCACCTAAACTAACAGAAATATGCTCAAAAGTCACAGAAACAATGGAATTTTGAATACAAATGCAAAACTTTATTTTTTACGAGTATGTACACAATTGTGTACAAAGCACTTACCGATTGCACTTTTCACACGTGGAACCTGAAGAAGCAATTGCGTTCCTTTGTGAGACAGAGTGGGTCAGCGCATTTCTTGCAGAAAATTCTCGACCTTCCTTTGCAGTTTTCGAGTTTGCAACGCGAAGGCTCTGCCTGATCCCTGGCTTCTGGCCAATGGTCCACACAATCATACCGGCTGTCAGCGCATGGGCGAGACATCCTTGGCTTCTTTAGCACTTTGGTGGCCTCGGCTGCCTGCAGGTCCAGGTTTTCTATAGACGGTCGTCCTCGTTTTCTTGCATTTGGGACGGCCTTAATTAGTCCTTCTGCAACTTGTAGGCGAAAGTGCATGAGGTCCATCAGCTTCGTCCTGGGGATGCCTTCGTTGTCGCGCAAGTATTCGAGCCAGGCGTTACAGATGGCAATGTCAACAAAATGAAATAGGACCCGAAGTGTCCACTTCCTCAATCGGATTTTAATCCGGTATAAGCTCAAGAGAAAATCGAGCTTGTCCACTCCACCCATTGACTGGTTATACTTCTCCTTGTCCCACCTGCTGACCTCTTTTTGTTCTACTATGCCAACAAAATTCGAGGCAATGGTAACGCAGTTGTTGTCCTTCCAGGAGACAGCGACAATGTCGTCTTGAGTAACACATTCCTCTGAATACCCCCTCGGACTCTTCTTTATTGCCTTAGTACTTGAAATGGGGCACTTCGCCAGCCTGTTCGTCCGTACCGTACCGGCAGCTAGAATGCCGTCTTTCTTGAGATGTCGAAGAAGGGGTATTGAAGTGAAATAATTGTCGAAGTACAATTGATAATTGCCCCCCAATGGGATCCGTTGTGCTAGGTGGAGCACGACACCCGAGCAGAGGCCAAACGCCTTTTTCAAATCGTCACTTATCGAGTTCTGGCCTTGATAAATGACAAAGTCATAGAACTGTCCGCTTCTCCCACAAAGGGCAAAAACTTTGACTTCCCAAGGTGTTGGTTTCCCCCTCATATATTGCTTGATCGAAAGCTTCCCCTTGAACGGTATCATTTGTTCGTCCACTGAAACTTTCTCCTCGAGTTGTAGGTCCAAGCAGCGCGCCCTGATGCTGTCCAAGAAAGGGCGCACCTTCCACAGCTTGTACTGGCAATCAGAAAACTCACTGACAGCAATATGGAGGTTATTCCTCAACTTGGAAAACCTCTTTGGGGTCACTGTTTCTGAGATAAGCGGAACTTTGGCTGTATTGTCCCAATACAGTCTCACTCGGGGAAGCGATATCACGCCCATCAGCACGTGCATTCCAACAAGCTTCCCAACCTCGTCTGGACCTGTGTTTACATTGGTGTGTGACGTTAGCACACTGTACTCATTTGTCGCTTTTGTGATGCCCTTGAATACAGACTGGGGAACGTATCTTGAGAAATAAGTGAGTGGTGGGCTCGTCCCATCCGCCGTCACAGCATAGTCTCCTCGTACAAAAAAGCCGCTGTCTTGAGGTGGTGTGTACCTTTTTGTCTTCCATATCACGCTTGTGCACGGGACATCAGGAGTGCTCTCCTCGTCTTCGTTTGCATCCTCCACCGCAGCTTCTTCATTCTCCACGTCGTAAGCTTGCTCCGGCGTTTGGCACGCATTGGTTTCAAAGGTGTCATCTTCTTCATCGCTCTCCCTTACGTCAGACACGTCTCCATTCGCAAGCCGCTCCAAAAGCCTTCCAGCTGATTCTCCCGTCTTTTCATGGCTTTTTCTTGCATAAAAAGAAGAACAAGGCAGAGTCAAAAAGCCTGGAAAAGAAGCAAAATTGGTTCTTTGACAAAGCTTCTGCCACCTTTGAGGCGCTTTGTACACGATTGTGTATGCCAATAAATTGGGACTTTTCAAGCCCGCCAAGATGCTTCTTGCCATAAACTCGTTGTAACCGAATATTTATAATGTAGCATAAAACTTGTGATTTTACTTCGGGCAGAATTCATGCTACGCTTGCTACATAAATTAGAAAAGTTAACCTACCTGCCGCTGCCGTTGTGTTCGACGCCATGCTTCTTGTTTACATCGTATCTCTAGCCTAGCATCTGTTTCATTCTATCTTTAAAACACATTTTGTTTGGCGCATTATGCCATTAAAATCTTAATCCTAACCTACATCGTATCTCCCGAAAATCCCGATAGATGGTACCAAAAACTGTCATGGTTGCTAGACGACTAAAATATAATTATGCCAAATATAGTTTAACTATAATATTTGCATTCTAAACGCAAAATTAGGTTTTTCTTTTAATGTACACAATTGTGTACATAGCACCTGAAAGGGCTAAGAGCTGCGCTCTGAAAGCGAAGTCTGCGATGTAGCATTGAGCAATGCGAAACATTGCCTGATGCTACATCGCAGACTTCGCTTTTTGGTCTAAACATATGTTTCGGCATTGTCATTCGCTGAGCTGATTCAGCAAACACCAAACAGCAGTGATTAGCTGTCTGTGTGTTTTGTGGGAAAGAAGACACACGGGCTTTTTTTAGAGTGGAAGGAATACAGAATGATGTCAATTTTAAGAAGCTCCGCTTTCCCAACCTTGTTGGCCGAAGGGAGCTTCTGCAGACGTGCTACTGAGCAGATGAAACAGAACGCTCGAGCTCCAAGGCGGAATGCTTTTTTCTGACGAGCAGCACGTGCACGCCACACGAGCGAGCGCCTCACTATTCACATGAAAAACTGACTAGGGTCTTTAACTCTTTCGTTACCGCGGAAAAATGACTGATTTTCAGTGCTTCTAGAAAATATTTTTTTTCTCTGCGACTACTAGCCGCATTAAGCTTTGCTATTTATCAAACTGTAGGTTATTAGCTGGGCATCATAGTTAAATAAACTGTAGTGTTATGAGTGCAAACAGTGAAGAGAATTTATTTGTCAAATGAACAAAAAGTTGACAAAAAAAGTACAAACAAAACAAAAATCAGTGGCTGTACTGAGCCAGAAAATTATTTTCGAAATTCTGAAATATACAAAATGTTGCAAGTGGCCCTAGCCATCATTTCAATATCTTCCAGTTCTGTGCGCCGTGTTCTGTATTTTTCGTGGCCAGCAAAGTTAGCGGTTCCGAAGGCTGTGCCACTCAGAAAAGCAGTCACGTGAAGGTAGGAAGCAAAGATAAATTTCGCATGTGGCGCAGAAGACGTTTGTTCTGGATTGGGATTTTGTCTTTCGATAGCAGAGCTTGCAGTTTCTTCTCCTCTCCATTCTTTTTGGTTGGTGGCAAGCAGGGACATGAGGTGAGAAGGGGGTACCACTTTGCGCTGCTCCATCGTACTCAAAGATCTGCTGAATTAGCTCTTCTCTAAATGCCAGCTGGTCAAAGTAGGCACTTCTGGAAAGTTCTGGGACGTCTGGGTTCTCTTTGCGGTGTTCTTGGAAGAGTATAAAACTATTTACGCATGCAATGTCCACACAATGGAAAAATAGCGTCTTCCACCAACGCACACATTTCCTCAGGACGTTGTATGTTCCAATAATTTGGTCCGACTTGTCGACTCCCAACATTCCAGCGTTGTATTCGTGGACTAGAAGCGGCTTTTTGATGGTCCTCAAAGTCCACTTGTCCCCTCTTTTTTCTCTTCGTGGGGCCGAAACATGCTCGTTTGCTGTATGCATCGTGCTCATCAGGTTTACCGCACGCCTGTCTTTCCACTGCATGTAGAGGATGTTCCCTTCACGAATCCATCTAACATCTCCCCGCTGAGCTCTTCTTTCCCATTTAGCATCTTTCAATTCAGCTGGAAAACATCGGCGATCTTTGCGAGATGTGCCGCATGCAAACGTCTTGCGCGCAAGGAGGTGGTCGAAAAGTTTCGTTGATGTATAGAAGTTGTCCATGTAAATCTTGTACCCTTGATCAAGGTACTCTGTGCAGAGCTTGGTGACTACGTCAAAAGCTAGACCGTGAGGTCCTGGTGTCTCACGCTTGCCAGTGTACACAACAAATTGAAGGGTGTAGCCTGTTCTTGAGTCTGCCACCACCCAGAGTTTGTATCCCCACTTCGTCACTTTGTCTCGAATGTATTGCCTTATTCCTGATCGGGCTTTAGATTTTACCATGCGTTCATCGACTGAGAGATCACGCCGTGGTTGGAAAAAACTTGCTGATTTTTCATTGATGTGCTTCAACAGCCAGTATACCTTCCAGGTTTTGCCGACAGAAGCTGCAGCTCCACAGTCCTCCGGGTCCGATACGTGTAAGAACGCCAGCAGCGCAGAAAAGCGCTTTCTTGGCATAATATTTGGTGGTAGAAGGCCTCTGAATATTCCTGTTGTTTTCCAGTATTAGTGCAGTCGCGGAACTTCAACCATTCCCATGTAGATGAGAATCCCAATAAATTGCAGCATCTCGAGCGGTGTGACCTTCTCCCAGGAGCCGTCACGCCGAGCGTATGTCTGCCGGTCCAAAATGTGCATCCAAGGATATTTGTTTGTGTTCTCACACAAAGTCCTTACCACCTCGGAAGTGAAAAACAAAAGAAAAAAATCTAGTGCTCTTGAGAAGCGCCGTGAGTCGCTCCGCAGTGCTGCGCCAACATGGACACCGGGCTGTCTCTTGGGCGAAAACTGGATACGGCGCGACGCATTCGGAAAAGTATCCTTGCCGTACGTTGTTGAGACTCTAAACATGCAAGAAAAAACGCTGTCGTCAAATACAAAGCGCGCGTTTGTATAAATACAGTGTGCAAGCTAAAACGAAACACACCTGCGAGCTCCTATTGACGTTCCCGGATCTTGAGCTGGAGTGTCGCTGTCAGAACTAAAATCTGACGACCCTGCATCGTTACTGGAGTCATCACTGCTGCTTGAGTCACAAAAATCGGCAGAAAAAGCGGCCGAAGTGCTTGCAACAGCCTTCCGCTTTTGAGGTGCGCGCGGCAAACTTGACGCCATGGCTCCCGACTACGCGGTAACTTTTGGTTTAAGTTTCGTTTTTAACAGCGCCGTCTCACGTCAGAAGATGAAAACCAAAACCGAAACTGAAAAAGTAGATGTCTACGAGCAAACTAGGTGGCGCTGTCTGTCTTGACGCGCCAATTTTGATTTTTTCAGACGCTTTGAAAGTCATCGTAACTCCGTGTCCGATTTTCTATGGCGCGGTACTGAAAGAGTTAAGCGCGCGTTCTAAACTGAAAGTTCTCAAGGCAAACGACCCTTCCATTTTCGCGTAAATAGTATGGATATGAATGTATCAAATACCAATATTTATGCACATGGCACTCAACTGTAATTTTTTGAAAGGTTCACTTTAAAGATACTGAAGCAAAATTTTGATTTTCCAGAAAAATGAGTTGCAGACTTTACACTAACTCACAGCTGCTTAGACATCCTGCTGAACCTGGGCTGCCTAAGTACTTGTGGGTGTGAGAAATGAAGAAACAACTTGACTACATACCAAAAACATACAAGCATCACTTACTGCATCTGGTGAGTAGTTTTCGCAGGGTAGCTTTTCCAACCTTGCCGTGGCTCGGAACATGCTCGAACAAGGTCCATTACCGCAGAACCCCGCATCGGCGGAGGCCAGAGGCACTCCTTTTCTGAAGGCAGAACCCAGCTGCTCGGTACAATTGACACATTGCACTCTTCGGATGTGAATTCTACTACCGAAAATTCTCGGCCTCGTCTCTGAAATGAAAAATAAATTTAGGTCAATGTAAGACCAAATTGAATTTGATCTGGAAGGTCGCAGTAAACCAAGCCAAAATAATGATTCCATGCAATAAGTAAACTTGAGACTTCCTTCAAACATGTATTCACTGTGTAGTTGCGTTGTTGATGCAATTAATGTAGCGGTGCAGGCGAGCTGGATAAGAATAAACAATACATCATCTCTGGAGAAGAGGAATGAGCCGGCCTAGACGGCTTGGTCACGCTCAAGAGTCGTGTATGGTGCTGATATCGGGAGATGGTGCATAGCCTCCTTTATTTTAGCAGCCTGTCAGATCCTGAAAAAGAGCGGCATTGGAAAAAGAGAAAGGAGGGGCAGAGAGAGAGGTGCCCAAGAACTAGAACCAAATACTTTGCTAGAACTCTCGGTGGTGCCACCCAAGCATGAGCGGTCAAATGCAAAAACCTTCCTGCTGCAATTTTTTTGTCAATTTTTTGTCCATTTGTATGAGTATTCCAAACAAATATGCCGAATCTACCCGAATCATCCTATCACTAGAAGATTCGGTCAATTATCCGAATCTCCAGAATCGAGTCTGAATCTCGGTTCACAAAAAAGTTCGTCCTATCACTATATTTGATTAATCATACAAATTGCTTGAATCGGAGCAAAAAGAATGTTTGGCCTGCGTAGCTTCGGGAATTGATTTCAATTGGGGAATACGACGCGGGCGGTCGTGTTTGTTGACATAGTCTTCGCACGGGCGGTCTCGTACTGCTGACGCACATCGTCCAGTGCGTAACATTGTCTAGTGCTGAAAATCGCGTTTGCGGGGGACGCCCATGCAGCTGCCACTTGCTATCTCGGAGGGTGCCATTACACACTTCGTTCCGGCTCAAACGACGCCCGTCTTGGATTTAGGTGGTCGCACACTGCGAGAACCGCGCTGTTTTCTTTTTGGGGCAATTTTTAGGTCAATGACGCAAAACCTGAAATTAGGTATGCGTTCGGCGCTTGTGCAGTACCGACGACGCTCTTCGTTTGCATACCTTAAGTCTGAGGACTACGGCTGGGCGCCGGCCAGGTGAGGCGTAGGGCGATCAGGCGAGGGCAGGGCAACTAACAGTCGAATATGTTCTATCAACGGGCGTATAAGAAAAGGAATGAAGCGCTGAGGCGCTGACGCGCCGCATGGTTCGGTTGCGCGAAAACAGAAGTCGGCAGGAACACTTTTTCGGCCAGGCTTGACTTTCAAGGATAAAAAGAACAGAGGGCTGTGGTAGGTGGCACTAATAGCTTGTTCACAAAAGAAATTCGGTACGCTATATGTATTCTAGAACTCCCTATTATGGCCTGCAGTGACAACAATTCGGAAGACCGTCACAATACTTCAGCCATGATCTCAACTCTTGGAAAATTAGCCCGGAATGTGCACAGGGGCAGCGTAGCTTCTGTCACTGTTTTTCTTTCCTGCACTAATTTTCCTCCATTTTTATCCAGAATAGCATAACAAAAATGCACTCACCCAGACATGGCAGTAGTTTCCCCGCAGCAAAGCGGGAGTTGACGGAGAACCAAAAACGTGGCTAGCCGGATGTCGCGCAGCTAGCAGCTAGGGCGTAGGACAATACTCAACGTTGAAAGGTCCGGTTCACTGTAATCTGCTTGACGCACTGTCCATACATCATAGCTGGATCAATAGATGCATCTCAACCATTTTTATTGGGCAGCGGTTTGTACCACCTGGCCACCATCTGTGACGAAGAATGACGAAAAAAGCTGCCTACGATGGGGCACGTGTCAATGAGACGACGGCGGGCTCCTTTCGATTACTGGAATTGTAATTAAAACACCACCCGAACGGTCTGCTGGTGAAATTTGGTTCGACGAAATGATTGCCACCGCTTTCCAGCTATGGACTGTGGCAGGTCAAGAACGGTGCACAAACTGGGAAGGAGGAAACGGCCGAAAGCTCAGAATGGACAGGTTTATTCTGTCCACTCCGAGCTTTCGAATGCTTCGTCCCCTCCAGCTCGTACAACTTTCTTGACCTGTCACTGACTATGCTCCCGCTGTTCCATGTTCATTGTATAATATAGCAATTGAATAGAATGTGTGTATACTTATTCAATAGTGCTGATACGGCTGTGACAGCAAATAATAAAGAATCAAGAATGCAAGTGAGTGAGACCGGGACAAATCAAACACAGTCTTATCACAGAAGGGCATGAACAGCTCCGAAAGGCAATACCCGAGTCTCTGAGTACTGCCTTTCGCAGCGTTAAAGACACGTTTAGAATCCGTCAGAAATCAAACTCATAACAAGCATTCCATTAATGTTGTTTTATTCCTTTGGTGGAGGCAGGGATTACCTACTAGGACTAGCCAGGTCTCATGATTCAGTCAGGCGATTCAGCCCCATTCTGCTATATGTGCTTGTCTAAAAACGCCAGCAAATATCATTTTAAGCGTATTTCATGCTCACAGATTCCTTACAAATATAAGCCCCCCCCCCCCCGCCCCCTCCCCTCAAAAAAATAAAAAATAAAAATAAATTTGGAATTTATTTGTGTCCGCAATTAAAGTGGGTGTGACAAGTATGTAGCGCCCCCCTCCAGTCCGCCCGTCTGCGGCCGCCTCGCTCGGCGGACAACATTGATCACCTCGCCCAATAAACGCCGTTGAGCGTACGCCGCTCCGGTCAGTCATCGTCCACCCTCACACAACCAGGCTGCGTGTCGTCTCTCCTCGGCGGGTGCTTCGGCCCCCTTCGTCCACGTTCGAGAAGGATCGTGACACTGGCGACGAGGAACCATGGCACTGGAGGCCACCAACGTGCACGGTTCGGCCCACGCCGCCGAGAGAGTCGCAACACCGCCCCCCGCTCCTGTCGCCATGCCGCTGTACGGGAGGCTCGAGCCGTTCGAGGGAGTTGGGTCCGCCTGGCCTGTCTACGAAGAACAAGTCTACGTGTTCTTCCGGGCGAACGACACGCCGGAGGCGAAACAACGGGACATCTTCTTGGCCAGCTGCGGGACCCGCGTCTTCAGCCTCCGTCTCTACCTCCTCAAGCCGGCCACGCCGCACGTCAAAGCGCTGGGTGAGCTGCTCGCCACGCTGCGCTCGCACTTCAGCCCGGCGCCGTCCACGCTTATGGAGCGGTTCCGCTTCAACAACCGGAGCCGCCGAGACGGGGAGACCCTCGGGCAGTTCGTCGCTGCGCTACGAGGGTTAGCGAGCACCTGCGCCTTCGGCGACCAGTTGGACTCGCTACTCCGGGACCGGTTTGTCTGCGGCATCAACAACCCTGCCATGCAGACGCGACTCCTGGAGCTCCCCGACCCCTCGCTGGACGACGCGGTGAAGGCAGCGCTGGCGATGGAAGCAGCAGCGAAGAACGCCACCGCCGTACGGGGTAGGAGCCGTCCTGTCGCACCGGGGTCAGGATGGTCAGGAACGCCCTGTGGCGTTTGCTTCTCGTCGGCTTCATGCGGCGGAGCAGTGCTACAGCCAGTTCGACAAGGAAGGCTTGGCCCTCATCTTCGGGGTCCAGCGCTTCCATCAGTACCTGTGGGGCCGGCAATTCGAGGCGGTCACGGACTACAAGCCGCTGCTGGGGCTGCTGGGGCCTGACAAGGCAGTCCTAGT